AAACCCGCTCTTTTGTGAAAGTTGAAGAAGCAAAACTGGCTTCTAACCGCTTTACCTGATTCCCAAATAAGTTTCATTTGAAACAAGTACCATACTTCCTCCGTCCCCCACCACCCGTAATTCAAATCCGGATAAGGCATCAGTGCCGAAAGAGGATACGCCATTGAATTAGTCGGTTCAGTGAAAGCGATACTGCTTCCTGACCGACCCAGTGGTGTATATGTTGTCGCATTTTCAGAAAGCGCAATGCTACATCGTCAGCTACTGAAAGCGGTTCAGCCGCTAAGCAACCTAGGTTGGATGAGAAGAATTCCGCCCAGTCGAAATCTGGAAAAAGTAAGTTCTTGTGTCTACAGTGTTTTCACTGTTGTGAAACGTGGCTACCATTTTAGATCTAAATTTGGATGTATCTTGCTTCGATCTTACTGTAACTTCTCATTGAGAAGTTAGAGAATCCGAACTAACCCATAAGCATTGATAGAATTTTATTTTCATGTCCTGTAAAAGGATCTGATTACTCTTTCCAAGTACGTTGTTGTATCCTTTGTGTCCTGGAAAGGATCTGATTAGCACTATGTACTTCGGAGTTTTCCGAAGGTTCTGCTCAGATGATTAAAACCTTTCTCCCGGCGTCCTAATGGTTGAAGGCGATTTCCAAAGTTGAAATCTCCTTTGTGTTCCTAATATTTTGCTTGGAAAGGTCTTACTTTCTCGTCCCTTCATTAGGAGGTTCGAGATAGTTATTGGTTTTTGCTTGCTTTGACGAGCATTTAATCCGTAATTTTTAATTGTTGAGATACCTGCAGACAGGGGCTTTGAACAGCTTTGATTAGGTTTGTCCTGAGATGACGATTTCAGTTTCGAAATGTATTTTGATAGGATTACGGCTCTGATCCAGTGGGTTTTCAGCTGGTTCCAAAAAGACTGGAGCGCAGAATGGTGCGAAGGCTACTCCAAAGGGGTCTTCGAGACCCACACCAAAAGGTCCAATTCGAAGCCTTATGTCTCAAGATTTTTCGCCTTATCGATCGGCGCCGGCGCCTTTTGCGTCTCCTCTGATGGGCCGCAGAGAATGGCAAAGCGGTCCTGCACCGTTCGAGAGCCAACGCTACCAGCAAGGCAACATGTATGGAGGGCAGGTGCGAATACTGAAGTTCGGAAGTTGTTCTACTCAAATATGTTGCTTCATTATGTTCAATTCAGATGCGTTACGGTGAACAGTATCCTTTCAATGATGGCAGAGGTGGTGCTGACATATCGCCATGGGCAAGGCCTCCAGCAAACCAACCAGAGTACGTCGCTGCATGAATTTTTGTTTACTCTTTTCTTATTTTTTTTCTTTACTTTAGTGAATTTTACAAGTTGGAATCGGTGATGCGCAGAGCGGCTGAGGAGAATTCGTCGTCACTAGATGCAGTCAGACAAGTGGAGAAAATGGGTCTGGGTCCAGTTATGGGAGCAATATTGAAAGCTGTGGATCGCGGGGTATGTGATATAGGGTATATTCGTACTCTGAAAGAGCACAAGCAAATGGGTAATTTCACTTACTCATGATTTGAACATTCCTAATAAGTGGGAAGGATGTCACTACGACTTTATGTTTGGCAATAAGGAATTCTGGATTTCAGGACTTCAAGAGATCCAAGTCGCTGGATCGTGCGCAAACTTTTAGTGTTCTTAGCTAGTTGACTCAGCTTTCTAAAAGTGCAACAATTTTGTCCGATCACCTCCACTATTTAAGGGTCTTGACTAAGGAGTAGCGTGTTTAGTCGGAGTGCCTCAAAAACTGAAGCGGAGGGAAAAAATTATGGACTGTCGACTTGTGAGATAAACCGTGACGTAGAGAGATTCAAGACATGAGATTGCATAACTCCTAATTGATTTGACGCCAATGTGCTGTGTTGAGCCGCTCTTGAGGAATACTGACTGGTTTGCACGAGGTGCCTCGACTCGGATCTCCTGAGTTGCAGTCAAGAACTCGAGACTTCAAAAATCACAGAAAGTGAGATCGAAACCC